TTATTTAACTTCTGTGCAGAGTATATTATGCAAAATGCCAGGTTGGGTGAATCACAAGCTGGAATCAAGACTGCTGGGAGATAATCAACAATCTCAGATATGCAGATGATACCACTATAATGGCAGAAAGTGAAGAGGAACTAAAGAGCCTCTTGATGAGGGTGAGAGAGGAGAGTGAAAAAGCTGGCTTAAAACTCAACATTAAAAAAACTAAGATTATGGCATCCAGTCCCATCATTTCATGGCAAATAGATGGGGAAAAAAGTGGAAGTTGTGGTAGATTTTATCTTCCTAGGCTGCAGAGAAACTGCAGATGGTGAAGATAGCCATGAAATTAGAAGATAGTTGCTCCTTACAAGGAAAGCTGTGACAAACCTAGACTGTGTATTAAAAAGCAGAGACATCACTTTGCTCACAGTTTGTAGAGTAAAACCTATGGTTTTTCCAGTAGTCATATATGGATGTGAGAGTTGGACCATAAAGAAGGCTGAGTGCCAAAGAATTGATGTTTTCCAATTGCGGTGCTGGAGAAGTCTCTTGAGAGTCCCTTGAACTGCAAAGAGATCAAACCAGTGAATCCTAAAGGAAGTTAACCCTGAATATTCATTGGAAGGACTGATGCTGAAGCTCCAATATTTTGGCCACCAATGTGAAGAGCCAACTCAGAAAAAACCCTGCTGCTGGGAAAGATTGAAGGCAAAAGGAGAAGGGGGTGGCGGAGGATGAGATGGTTAGATAGCATCACTGACTCCATGCACATGAATTTGAGCAATCTCCAGGAGACAGTAGGGTACAGGGGAGACTGGCATGCTGCAGTCCATGAGGTCACAAAGAATCGGACAGGACTTAGCAGCTGAACAACAATCATAACTTAAGCCTCAGTAATCAAGGTCTCTTGGACACATTTAAAGTTTTTGAGTTTTGAGTAGTCAGTTCTAGCTATTTGTAAAAATTAATATTTCCTGAGTTTTATTCTTTCTTAGAGATTTTCTAAAGAACAAAAGAAAAAAAAATTGAAACATGGAATAAAACACATTCTTTTGCAACTACTATATGAATTCACTGGACTTTTGTATAAATGTCTTAATTTACCTTGGTGATCTTATTTTAAGTAATATGTAAAATTATTTTTTTTTCTAAAATAATCTAGTATCCTTAGTGATTTTATTTTTCCTCTTGAAACATTTTGCTATAGGATTTCTTTGCTTGAAAAGGCTGTATCTCTGATGCCAATTCATTTTTACCTTTGATAGTTTAGTAACCACTGTCTTTAGTAGAGATGCACATCACAGATTTATGGATACTTAATCTGAGGGTGAATCTCTAGGTATATATAGTTGTAATAGCTTCCTACCTTATCAAGAGTAGGAAGAGTATAAAAAGTATGTTCATAAGTTATTACCTTTAATCCTGAGGCCTTCTTGGAGAAACTATTTTGAGAATTAAGTTTCTGAAAATAAATAGTTTTTTTTTTTGGCTGGTAGATGGAGAAGTATAACGAGTTAGTCTAGATAAATGGTGTGTTAACAACAATGTATTTATTGTATTTGCAAGTACAGGTATGTCTTGGAGATATTATGGGTTTGGTTCCAGACCACCCCAATAAAGAGAATATCATGGTAAAGCAAGTCTCATGAACTTTTTGGGTTTCTCATTGTTTACACTATATTGTAGTCTATACAGTATAGCATTATGTAATAGCATTATGTCTTTTTAAAGATACTGTACATCCTGGGGACTTCACAGTGGTTAAGACTCCATGTTTCCAATGCAGGGGATGAGGGTTGGACCCCTGGTCAGGGAACTAAGATCCCACATACCCCATGATGTGGCAAAAAAATAAAAAAAGAAAAAAAAATAAAGACAATGTACATACCTTAAGAATACAAAAAACAAACCCGTTATAATAGTAATGTAAAAAAATCACTGATTACAAGTCACTATAATAATTTAAAAATTTTCAATATTGCAAGAATTAGCAAAATGTGACACAGAGACATCAAGTGAGCAACTGCTGTTGAAAAATGGCACCAGTAGACCTACTCAATGCAGGGTTGCCACAAACATTCAGTTCTTAAAACAACAAAATATTTGTGAAATGCAGTGAACTGAAGCACAGTAAAAAAAAAAAAGTTTGCATGTGATTGTTATCTTCAAATGGTTATTAAGTCTTGATTGCTCCTAGTTCCCCAAAGGAGGAGGACTGTATAAGTATAGGTCAGTGGAAGAGAGTCAAATGTTAAGTTATTGTTTGTCTCTGCAATGGGAAGTGGGAGAGAAGAAAAGAACCAACACTTTTCAAGTATCTTCTGTGCACATATTGCTACTTAAAACTCAAAATAGTGTTTTTAGGGTAGGTATCACTCAATATCCTTGTTTTATAGAGGAAGAAACCAGAGCTCAAAGAGGTAAAGTGACTGAAAGTTACAAAATGGGAGTTAGGCTCTGAATCCTGATTACTTTGACCTCAAAGTCTTGTGCTCTTTCCACTACACTCTTGAACAGCGCATGTGCTGACCTTCTATGCAAATACCCAAGTATAAGTTTCTTGTTGGATTTCTGTATCTGAGATTCTGCATCTGCAGATTCAACCAACTGTGTATTACTGTAGTACATAAGTACTGAAAAGCCCACTTTTAAGAGGACTTGTGCAGTTCAAACCCATTTTGCTCAAGGGTCAGCTGTATTTGATTCTGAACAATGTGAAACATTTACTTGCTGTCCCTTAGTGAGTGACACTGATGTTGCATTGAAGGTTAGTATCAAGATACAGAAACATAAAGTCACTGATTATATTTTTGTCATTGATATTTCATTTTCCTGTAACACTATTCCTCATAGGCTCTGACTACGATGAGTTTTAAAGCTCATGCTGTATCAGATGATAGATACTAAACCTACCTGTCTTTAAGGGCAGTGTAAAACAGCCTGGCACAGTGTTGTCGGCTGATGAATGTTTAGGGAATTTAACTGGGTATTACAGTTGGGAGATGCCTGTCTAGCCCTGTTAGGCACGTGGACCTCTTAACCTCTAAGGCTTATCATGGGCCAAAGTAATTATTTACACATTCCCCAAAATACTTTGTTTCAATACACAATATTTATTAAGACGACTTAGGTACATAAAGACATGCTTAGGTACATAAAGTAAACCACTTATATACACACCATTCTCAGTGAACTGTAAGAAGAAAAAATAACACAAAGAACAAAATTGTTTTCAAACAAGTTTTTATGTTTTATATCCATCATATGTTCGTTTGCATGTTAGGAAGTTATTAGCACTGACATATAAACTTAGATGTAACTTTTTGATGAAGTTCACAAAAATTTGCATTGAAGTCTGAATGTAAATTACAGACTCTTAACAAGCGTTTGAGAATAGAAATGTGATTGAAGATTTGCATTCCCAGATGTTTCAAGAAATCAAATGCTTTTCACTACCACGTGATAAGGATCTGTGTTCAAATGAAAATTATTGGGGCACATTAATTCTTGAAGGGTATTATAATTTTCAGTTAATATAAGAAAGTAATAAACCTTTATATAGGGTGTCAACCATGAAGAATTTAGGCTTTCCTAAGACTATGATTTCCACATGCCTGAAAAGAAAATCCTATGAAGTCTATATATTTTGATAATTAGTTGCAGAAGTCTGTAAAAAATGATTTAAGAATAACTAACGACAACTACCACGTATTGAAACCTTACTCTGTGCTAGGCACCAAGCTATGTACTTTGTATACATTATCCCATTTAATGTATATTATAACTCAATTGTATAAATAGTATTAGCTCTGTTTATAAACAAGAAAACTGAGGCTTAAGCAGTTAGCCACGTTCAACAAACAGCAAAGTCACTATAATAATTTAAAAATTTTCAATATTGCAAGAATTAGCAAAATGTGACACAGAGACATCAAGTGAGCAACTGCTGTTGAAAAATGGCACCAGTAGACCTACTCAATGCAGGGTTGCCACAAACATTCAGTTCTTAAAACAACAAAATATTTGTGAAATGCAGTGAACTGAAGCACAGTAAAAAAAAAAAAGTTTGCATGTGATTGTTATCTTCAAATGGTTATTAAGTCTTGATTGCTCCTAGTTCCCCAAAGGAGGAGGACTGTATAAGTATAGGTCAGTGGAAGAGAGTCAAATGTTAAGTTATTGTTTGTCTCTGCAATGGGAAGTGGGAGAGAAGAAAAGAACCAACACTTTTCAAGTATCTTCTGTGCACATATTGCTACTTAAAACTCAAAATAGTGTTTTTAGGGTAGGTATCACTCAATATCCTTGTTTTATAGAGGAAGAAACCAGAGCTCAAAGAGGTAAAGTGACTGAAAGTTACAAAATGGGAGTTAGGCTCTGAATCCTGATTACTTTGACCTCAAAGTCTTGTGCTCTTTCCACTACACTCTTGAACAGCGCATGTGCTGACCTTCTATGCAAATACCCAAGTATAAGTTTCTTGTTGGATTTCTGTATCTGAGATTCTGCATCTGCAGATTCAACCAACTGTGTATTACTGTAGTACATAAGTACTAAAAAGCCCACTTTTAAGAGGACTTGTGCAGTTCAAACCCATTTTGCTCAAGGGTCAGCTGTATTTGATTCTGAACAATGTGAAACATTTACTTGCTGTCCCTTAGTGAGTGACACTGATGTTGCATTGAAGGTTAGTATCAAGATACAGAAACATAAAGTCACTGATTATATTTTTGTCATTGATATTTCATTTTCCTGTAACACTATTCCTCATAGGCTCTGACTACGATGAGTTTTAAAGCTCATGCTGTATCAGATGATAGATACTAAACCTACCTGTCTTTAAGGGCAGTGTAAAACAGCCTGGCACAGTGTTGTCGGCTGATGAATGTTTAGGGAATTTAACTGGGTATTACAGTTGGGAGATGCCTGTCTAGCCCTGTTAGGCACGTGGACCTCTTAACCTCTAAGGCTTATCATGGGCCAAAGTAATTATTTACACATTCCCCAAAATACTTTGTTTCAATACACAATATTTATTAAGACGACTTAGGTACATAAAGACATGCTTAGGTACATAAAGTAAACCACTTATATACACACCATTCTCAGTGAACTGTAAGAAGAAAAAATAACACAAAGAACAAAATTGTTTTCAAACAAGTTTTTATGTTTTATATCCATCATATGTTCGTTTGCATGTTAGGAAGTTATTAGCACTGACATATAAACTTAGATGTAACTTTTTGATGAAGTTCACAAAAATTTGCATTGAAGTCTGAATGTAAATTACAGACTCTTAACAAGCGTTTGAGAATAGAAATGTGATTGAAGATTTGCATTCCCAGATGTTTCAAGAAATCAAATGCTTTTCACTACCACGTGATAAGGATCTGTGTTCAAATGAAAATTATTGGGGCACATTAATTCTTGAAGGGTATTATAATTTTCAGTTAATATAAGAAAGTAATAAACCTTTATATAGGGTGTCAACCATGAAGAATTTAGGCTTTCCTAAGACTATGATTTCCACATGCCTGAAAAGAAAATCCTATGAAGTCTATATATTTTGATAATTAGTTGCAGAAGTCTGTAAAAAATGATTTAAGAATAACTAACGACAACTACCACGTATTGAAACCTTACTCTGTGCTAGGCACCAAGCTATGTACTTTGTATACATTATCCCATTTAATGTATATTATAACTCAATTGTATAAATAGTATTAGCTCTGTTTATAAACAAGAAAACTGAGGCTTAAGCAGTTAGCCACGTTCAACAAACAGCTTGTAAATGGTGTAACCAAGAGTTTAAAGCAAGTCTGACTGTGGTTCCAAAGCCAGAGTACCCAATCACTATATTGTATGACATCAGTGAAAGACCCCTCACTTGCTATCATGAGGGTGAATGGTTAAGAACTTTACCTATGATACAGTCACAGAAGTATAATTTGCATTGTTAGACTAAGAAGCAAGATTGATTCAAGTGGAACACAAAAAACCTTGCTCATTTAAATAATTTTTATTTACACGTCTTTTCCCATCATCATTATTCTAATAAGATTATAAATACATAAACACCTGAGTACATGCAACACATTCCACAAAGGGGAAAAAAGGTACAGTACAACTGAAAAAAGAACCAAAACTATTGTATACAAAGTACTTTAAAAAAAGACCTTGTAACACATTCAGACCGTATTTATTTGAACATTTTCCAATAATTACCAAGGGATGTATCATTTATAAGTAATATTCAGAATCTATTTTCTTCTATAAGCCAGGTTTAGCATTTCAGTTAATCAAGTGAATAGCTGTTCCATTATGCAATATTAAAGGCAAGTCACATGGCATCAAAATGAAATCGATGAGCTTCTTGTCGTTTTTCTCTATCATCTGCTTTCTGAAAAAGAATTTTAGACTGGTTTATAAATGATAAGAAAATGTCAAACAAAGACTTTCTGAAATATGAAGTGGTTAATTTAAAAAGCCCTCAGCAATTAGTAGGTGTGATTTTATTATGCAATAATCTTATGAAATATTTTTATAGTTTACAGTAGCTATTCTATAATTAATGATCTCTTAAACTGAATTTAAAAAACTAACAAGAAATGTTCCTTAAAAGCTTAGTTTGTTATATATTATTTGAAAGTAGGAGTAAACATTAGATTTTGTAAGAATGGAATCAACTCTTACATTTTTCCTGTTCTTAATACTGCTGAATCTAATGATATTAAAGTGCATTAATTATTTTGGGGTTAACCTAGTGATTTTGTATTGGGATATTGGTTCCTTGACTAGGGATGGAACCTGTGCCCCTGCAGTGGAAGATTGGATTCTTAACTACCCAACCACTAGGTTAAGCCCCATGTGCTTGGAATTTTGTGGGGTTAGAAAACTCCTCAGTTTTGTATCTTGCTCTCATGGAACTTACTAAAGCCTAGAATGAAAAACATACTGAAAACATACTAAATAACTCTATTTCAGGATAAAATGTTACCAAAATTCTGAGAGATTACTTTTGGTTGGCCTGATGAAAGGGAAAGCTTTGAAAGACAGCATTTATGGAAATTAAGAGGGACATTCACTATAAGATGGGGGAAGAGCAGGAACAATCCTGGGAAGTCTGACAGGAGCATGGGAAATATGGAAGCAACTGGTAAGAGAAAGGTTGGAAAAGTATGTGGTGGAGTCAGAAGGAAGACTACCATGAAGGCTAGGCTAATGGGGTTACACATTTTAGGCAGGGGGTAGGCACCAAAGGTTTTTGAGCAGAGGAGTGCCGTGATTAAGACTGAAAGATGAGTAATCTGGCAGCAATGTGATAAATGGAGGGGAGGGAGAGAATGGAATTTGGGAGGACAGGGAGGATATAGCAAGGAGTTGAACTAAATTAAAGTACTGATGTAAGGAATTCAGAAGTGGAGTCAGCTTCAGAGATTGTATGAAGGCACATACAGGAGGGCAACTGGTAAATCCTGTAATGAGTAAGAAAGAAACTAGTTTTAAGTTGCTTGTAATTGATCTGGGTAGAAGTGTCATGGCAACAGTTTGAAGGAGGGAGCTTTAGAGAGAGATGAAGGCTGGGAAAGATTGACGGCAGGAGGAGAAGGGGACTACAGAGGATGAGATGGTTGGATGGCATCACCGACTCAATGGACATGGGTCTGGGTCGACTCTGGGAGTTGGTGATGGACAGGGAGGCCTGGCGTGCTGCGGTTCATGGGGTTGCATAGAGTTGGGCACGACTGAGCGACTGAACTGAACTGAACTGAAAGTGGCAGGGGAATGTGTATAAACAAGAGGGCATACAGCAGAAACTGTGGCAGAAAGAACAGCCAATAGGTGAAAGAGAAGTGGTCCAAGTGGGGGGGGGGGGGGGGGGGTGGAGAACCACAGTACCACAGAAGAGGCAGTTTACAAATATGTATTTTGATCCATCCTTATATGTAAAACTTCAGTTTTTAGCCACTGTATCATCATTGTGAGTCTGCTTATACTGTAATCAGACCTACTGTAAAATTAATAAAATTACTTTCTTTTCCTTCATAGGTCTAGAGCTATATAATATTTCATTCTATAGATCAATAGAACAGAATAGAAAGCCCAGAGATAAATCCACGAACCTGTGGACACCTTATCTTCGACAAAGGAGGCAAGGATATACAATGGAAAAAGACAACCTCTTTAACAAGTGGTGCTGGGAAAACTGGTCAACCACCTGTAAAAGAATGACACTAGAACACTTTCTAACACCATACACAAAAATAAACTCAAAATGGATTAAAGATCTAAATGTAAGACCAGAAACTAT